ACTCCAGCAACATTTAAAAGTGAAATTTCTAAAACAGACGTACGTAATTAGCTTTAATTGAAAACGATTTTTTTTAACTTTAATATTTAATAACTAATCTGAGTAAATAATTAAAAAAAATTTTGTTTAAGATACGTTTATCGTTTTTATTGTAATTCAGACGAAATTATATGAACATCAGGAATAATTCATTGTTCCAGTGCTAATTTTTCTTTATTATATATTCTGTTTAATTATTTTAAGGTTGATTTACTTAAAGACAGGACTAAAGACGGAAAAAACTCTGTTGCTATTGATAATGCTGTGGATACAGAAAATCAAAATTTTAATGCACTTAAAGTAAAGACAATGGTTGACAGAACTGATTATAGTTATGAAAGAGAATCAAATTCACTCCATTTTTTGGAAACACTCACAATAATGGAAAATGACACAAGTATAGATACAGTAAACGTTGATTGTGACATTTCTTAATGGCCTCAAAACATGACCAAGCATATAAATTATTGGATTGTAAAAGGAAGTACAATGATTCAAAACTGCGGTTACAAGATACTTGAATCGAAATCTTAAGTATAAAGTAGTATGAGGAATCGTCAACAAAAAGATAATAAATGAGTATATTATTTTAGAAGCTGTAATATTATAATTTTTGACAAAAAATTGTAACCAATTGATACCTTGAAAATGCTAAAAGAATGGTATAAAAAGTATTGTATTCAAAAGTTCCAGTTTATTACAGAACATCTTGATACAGTATTTAACATTATGTTCATTTATCTGTACAAACTCCATGATTCAATTTGAAAACATTATTTTAGTAATTTAAGCAATTAATGCTAAAAATTTAAATAAAAAATGTAATTAAAGTTTTTTCGAGAGCAAATGCTCAGAACAAGTTAACACAATGTGGTTAGAGAGAAATATAAAAAGATTGATAAGTCCTTTAACAGCGATAACTGGCTCAATACATCAACGTATCTCCAATTTACATTCATAAAAAAATAATTTTTCTAACAATTTGTTTTTAACTAAAGTCCATTTTGTACGGCTCTATCGAGCAAGAGGTAGTTCGCCGATATAGTTGCAGAGCGTAAAGTCATTTATACTTTCTACTATTACAGTATAAGATACTTTATGAGTGTAAAAGCCTTAATTATATTACCAAACAAAGCACATTACCGTTCAACTGACATTTTAGTATTTACTTTGTGCTTAACAACTGACAACTACTACTAGTCAATAAGCAACAAAACTTTAACCTTGAATAACTATGCAATAAGAGCCACTGACGATTTTCATTATCACAAACTTATAAGACAGCTTGACACAACTTAAGTAAAGTGTATGCTAATAATTAGGGGCATAGACAACAGAAACATGAGTAGAATCAAGTTATACAAGTAAATTTGCCATAACCTTACTCAAGTTTAACTTATGCCCCAATAAAACCACAACATAATACTAGTTAGATTCTAATAAGTATAAACTCAACGAGCACATCGCGGTCACTTGATGAACACTTGGTAGGTACTAGGCTAGCACTTGACGGAAATGTGGGTGTAAATTTACGGGAACTTGAAAAGACTTAACTGACATTTGGCAGGTACTTACCTGGTACTTAACGAGTACTTGGCAGGTACTTACCTAGTACTTAACGAGCACTTGGCGGGTACTTAGCAGGTACTTGACAAGAACTTAGTAGGACTTGACTTGACGAGAATTTGGTAGGTACTTGACGTTTAATTACCAGGTACTAGATGGGCACTTGGCAGGTACTTAACAGACGATTGATGAGTATTTGATGGGTACTTGTTGAGTTCTGGGTAGGACCTTTGCAAGTACTTGACAGAAATTGGCTCGGTACTTATCGTGTACGTGACAGTTATATGGTAGGCACTTGGCAAGCAATTTACGGGTACTTACGGATACTTGGCGGGTATTTTACATATACTTGGTGGGCACTTAACAGGCACTGTGCAGGACTTGACAGGTGGGTACGTTTCAAGCCCTTGGCGAGTACTTAATAGGCCATTGACGGTCACTTGATAGGAACTGTACGAGTTTTTCGCATGCAAATGGCAGATACATGGTGGGTACTCAAGGCATGTACGTCAAGTCCTACTTAGTGCCCACAAAGTACGTGACGAGTCCTCGTAAAGTATCCATCAGCTCTAGTATGTGTCATGTGCTTGTTAAGTTGCCACTCAGTATTAACTGAATCCCACCAAGTGCCAGTCAAGTGTTCGACGAGTGACTTTCAAGTACCCATCGGCACCTATTAAGTAATCGCAAAGTGCTTGCCATGTACCTAACGAGTGCCTCTTAAGTCCAGCAAAGGGCCCGTAAAGTGGCCACTAAGTACCCGTAAATTATCCGCTAAGTAGCCGCCAAGTACGCGCCATGTAACCAGCACGTGCCCACTAAATACCTTTTAAGTACCCACATTGTACCGGACAAGTGTCTGTCAAGTATCCGTTAAGTTTCTGCCAAATAACCGTCAAATATCTACTAAATGCTAGTGAAGCATCCACTAAGTACCCGGCAAGTACTTACCAAGTGCTCGCCAAGTACCTGCTAAGTGCTCGTTAAGTACCAGGTAAGTACCTGCCAAATGTCAGTTAAGTCCTGCCAAGTGCCTGTAAATTTACACTCACATTTCCGTCAAGTTCTAGCCTAGTACCTAACAAGTGTGCATCAAGTGACCACGATCTGCTCGTTGAATTTCTATTTAACTTAAGTAAAGACTTGTCACGTTTTGGTTCTGCAATATTGTGGTGCTGTTTGATTGGGGTCCAAATTAAACTTGAGTAAAGTTATGTCAAATTACTGGTGTAACTTAATACTACTTCTAGTTTCTGTTATCTGCACCCGTAATTATCAGCATACAATTTACGTAAGTTGTGTCAAGTTGTCTTATAAGTTCGTGATTATGAAAATCGCCAATGGCTATTATTGCATAATTATCCAAGGTTAAAGTTTTTGTAGCTTATTCAATAGTAGTAATTATCAGATATTAAACACATAGTAAATACTAAAATGTTAGTTGAACGGTAATGTGTTTTGTTAAGTAATATAATTAAGGTTTTACACTGACAAAGTATCTCATGCTGTAATGGTAGTGGGTATGAATGATTTCGCACTTTGCAAAAACTTTATCATAGAGTAATGTGTAAATGAGACATACAAATTTTTTTCATCATAATAACAATTAACTTCAATTTATTTTGGTGATTTTTTTTGCCTTCAGATTACCAAAACAGTCTACTGGCATAGTCACCGGAGCGATCCACTTGCCACCTTTGAGTAATGGTGCATTTACTGCTAAACACATTTTTAATTACCTTAACTAATACTATACTTATACCATGGCACAGTGGTATTTTTTCTATTAAGATTCTTTAGACATACTCGTAAATGTGTAGGTTTTGTCTGTAAAATATTTTATATCACAGGTGCTAACTTATTACCAGTCCTTTCTTACTAGTACAGGAGGCACTTCCTGCCTACAGCATTAGATTCGCTTACCTTCAAGATCGAACACTGTTTTGCATTCACCCAACCCTAAAGACATTTGGGCCAAAAAAAAAACTGGAACCTTACTACAGAAAAATTTCACGGAAAAATCTAGCCTGAAATGACAGAGATACAGGGAACCATTTCTCCTTTAAAACAGTTTAAAAAAAAATTAGCATGTACCGTGAATCGAACTCCCAGCCCCACATAGTATGATTTGTTTGTAAACTTTACTCAAGCTGCTTCAAACCTAAGTTGTATGAATATAACTTAATAATTTGTTTTGATTTAAATTTATAATTAAAACTATTTTAATAACAAAGGATAGTTTTATTTGTCTAGTGCCGTACTAAAAATAAAATGGTATGTCACTGGGGCACAAAGTACAAACATGAGCGCCTGAAGGGCGCGCGTGTTGTAGGTTGGTGCCCGAGTCACGTATAATATTTTTCCGCCCTCGGGTGGTTTTGGGAGGCTGGTACTTCCTCGGGCGAAAAAGCAGTTTTCCGGAACTCGTTCGAAAAGTCTCCTTTACGAACCTCGTTACGTCCCTCGCCTTCGGCTCGGGCCGCAAATCTCTTGGTTCGCAAACAGAGACTTTTCAAACTCGTAGGAAAACTACCATTCTGCACTATATGGGGGAATAGCCCCACCAGTAAATGTATACATTCGTGACTCGCTTGTTTTTACAATTTGTTGCATTAAGTTGATATGTTACACTGTTTTACAGCTAACTTACTACAGCACGAAAACAGTGACTGAGCTATAATCAAAACGAGGCATCATCTGCCTCCTTCGGTATTCTTTTTTCAGCCTAACAGTAATAGCGACAACAGGAGGACTGCACTCGGTTGCTCCCTTTCTTTATGTGATCGTACTCGAAAGTCGCGAGATGTCACAACAAATCACTTGTTTTACACTTTCTCTTTTGTGTACTATACGTACGCTCACGGCATCACATGTGAATATGCTAGGCTTCTAAACTACTCCTTTGACTGAGCGAAAACAAGATTGCGAGAGAATAAATCATTGCGCTTGACAGCTACTTTATTATACAAGCACACTTTATTGCAGAAAACGTCCATCGTGTAAGTCACACTCATATGAAAAAACAAATCCAAGCACTGTCTATGAAAGGAGCCTTAGCCATCTGACTGCAAAGTCAGTACACATAAAAATAGTAGCCAGCACACACCGCCACACGCACACACACATATTTAAATTACTAGCCTAGACATAATCTAGAGACAAGAGCAGCTAGTATAACACTTCAATAATTATCATATTCCATTTCTAAATGAAATCATTAAAGATCATGATTCTTATGAAGCTGTAAGATAAAAATGTAAGATGTTTAGACTATTCTGTTTATCTCATGTTTATAAAAAATCTTTAATTTTATACTTATTATCCACTAATGACAAGCGTATGAACAAAATCAATGAATAAAATAAAATTTTTCAAGTACCAATTATTATATTTACCTTAATACAACAACGATTGGACTTTCACTTCCAGTGACAACCATCAATCCTTTCCAAATCATTAATGCAGAAGAGACAATCATTCCAAAACTTAATATTTGGTAAAAGAACTGAAAAAATAATTAAAATAGGGCGTATAATACTAGTTGACAAAATGACAACATTATAGACACGGACTATGATTAACTTTAACATTATTAATGCATTTCCTTTTAAATACTAAAAAGTATGTCAAGAACGTTGAGTATTAGTATTAGCAGCAGCTCTAATTAAACAAATAGCTCTTTCAGTAAATTGTAAGAATCTAAGTTTCTTCTAATCTTTCAAAAATGATATACAGAACTTAAATCAAAATAAAAAGTACGTTTTGTAACCCTTAGTATATGAACCAAGTTACAGAAAGACGTACTTTAAATTTTTATCACACTGCTAAGAAAAGCAAGAGAAGTCTTTAGAAAAGTTATTGAAAAAGTTGTTAGCTAATATAGATTTATTCCCCAAAATAGTTTTTATTACTCGAAACTAACATTATGACATGCTTAACTGTTGTTTAATTTAACGTTTGTGGACATAAAAAAGTTTTTATACGTATGAGAATATATATTTTTTAATTTACAGCCATTCTAAGAAAATGTGAGTTTAATACAATAACGGCTCTGCATTGCTGTGTAACTCTACATATGGAATGCTATTGTCATTGTCATATTAAAAAACGGCCTAGGATTTTATTGTGATAACAATTATTAGCGCAGCATTGAGGACTTTTTATTTAACATCCCGTTCAAACCATCGAACCACAGTGGAAAATACGTCCTTAATAAATCAGTTTCTTAGAGGTACCTGCAAAGTAAGTGATAATATTTATAGGGACATTTAAAATTTTTTTTATTTCGTCAACTAGTTTGTACAGTAACATACCCTATCAACCCATTAAAAAATTTTTTCTTCCAATTTGTTTTTATATGAGGTTCGTTACAATACTATTCAATTTTGACCCATTCGTAACGATTTATTAAAAGCGCATACTATCATAGATTGTAGTATGGTATAAATAAACAATTGCATAGCAACGAGCTATTTGTCGGTAAGTGGTACATCAATACGGCTCCAGCAATCAAGAGGTGGAGCGCTAATGCCGTTGTAAGGTGCGAAGTCATAAATACTTACTACTGTTACAAGTTGACACAGATGAATTATACTGTGAGTAAAAACGCAATTCATTCGTCAAATTTATACAATATGTGATGTGAATATACGCAAGCTCATATGACAATTAGAGCTTATACGGCACTTAATATGTGTGTGTATAAGCTTAAAAGAGTATCGTTCATAGTATGCTGACACATAATATGCGACTAGCCTTGTTGTAAAAATGTACGCCTATACTGAAATTTTATGTCATATGGATGGATGCAAAAATTGTATTGTATGTACAAATGAATGGATTATTTAAGCATTGATTATCTATTTCTGAAAATGTACACCAATTTAAAAACCGTAATTAAATAATTATTTTATAATATTTCCAATAGATAGTAAAATTCTCAAAAGGATTAAGTGCGTAATTTATAAACTTATTTATCACACTTAAGCTTGTATTTAGTGTTTCTTTTATTGCTGATGCGAGCTAACATTATCACTGATCCAAAAATTCTAATCGCACCTATTGGAAAAATGAAATTGGTACTGTCGTATTGTTATTTCCTAATATATGAAACCAAAACGTGAAACATCGTCATGCAAGTCTACCGCTTTGCTGTCAACGCAGTTTGCAAGAATATCGCTCATTGGTTAACCTAATTTAAGCAAAGGCTTCTTTTACTCGCTCTGACGTTATAAAAACGTACTATCAAGGGGAATAATTTCTCTTTTTACGTCTGCCACCTGTTCTTCAAAGTTTGAGTCAACTCTTAACACCCCACACTTGCGACTACCTTATACACGTAAGGTATAACGTGTTGACTGAGGCAACTTTGATGTAAGTACATCAATAGTCTCGGATGAAGAAATGCAGGCTATTTTGACATTTTTACCTTCGTTAGCTGCCAGGTTAGATTCTTCGACCAGACTGCAAGGCCATAGGATACATTTTAGATAAATTCATCAGTGAAATTTTTCAATTTCTTTGCCTGTAAATTTATGTTTAAATTTCAAGTTAACGTTCTGAGATTTCAATATTTCTTCTTTTTTTTGGAGGTCTAATTTTGGAGTGAAAAAATTATAAAAAAAATAGGTAATCAAATTCCAAGAAGGAGTTGGTTTGGATGATGTGAATCTGAAAGTGTTGGACCTGTTCATAACAATCAACCAATAATGATTCCTGGAAATCGTGAGTATATTCTAACTAAAATATATTGACAGATGTTCAAGGATTTTTATTAGGGGATTTTGAGTTTGAAAAATCTTTTTCAAATGTAAATTTAAATGCTAAATATTAAGATCAGAGTATTAATAAAGAAGTTTTGGATTCATCTGCTAAAATATTGATTAGGGTACTATTTTAGAATCATAATGCAATTCTAATACAACAATTTTGTATAGTTTGTAGTTTTTTGAGAGTAGATTCTGCACATGACAAAAGGAGAATCCACCATATTCTATAACTGCACGAATAAGGCATTTATATAACATCACGAGTAGGAATGGATTTGTGCCCCACCATGTTTTCCATAGACAACTGATAATTTTAGTCACGAGTATACATTTCGTACAAACATATTCAATGTTTACACATATTTTTAGGGAAAAAGATTGAAGGCTGATGTTGTTTTTACTAAATACAATAAATCCACATATTTTAAATTTAATTTTCAAATTTTTTTTGTCAAAGAATACAAAGTGTAATTGTACATCATTTTCGAAGAAGTCAATGGCTTGTTTGGTATCAACCAGGGGGGTATCGTACAGTGCTAAGTGCATATAGAATTAGGCTGCATATGAGGCCTTGTGAAAGACCTTTGTTTGCTTTGAACTGATTAGTACTACCATAGACGTTCATGGGTACAATATTTCTTTCATAGGTAAGATTTTTAATAAACATAATAGATTTTATGAATGGATTTAATTTAACAAGATCTTTGAGAAGAATATCTGGGATCACATTGTCAGAGGCTCCTTGTACGTCCAAAGAAGCTACTACTAAGTTTTTCCTTTTGTAAAAGGCTTTGTGTATTCTCGAGGTAAAGATAGACAGACTGTAAGTATAGAAAATGCACTTTCATTACCTTTTGCTTTATACAGTAAACAATTTGCTTTAGCCTTATAGTTTTTTCAAGTGACGACCAATACCATTATATACTTACAGTTTTTAATTACTATTAAACAAAACTTAAATTAAATACAAAAGGTTAAACTTAATTGAAGTAATCTTCATATTTTAATAAAAACGAAAAGAGGATATTTGTTTTCACGTGGTAAATAGGGATACTGGTGAGGTCTACTGTATAAACATTTCGTGAGCTTATTTGTTGTTTAAAAAATTTATGGTTATCGAAGTGATAAAATAGAGAATAAAATTTAGTTTTGATATTTAAAAAAGGTTAGAAGGGTCAAAAACCCTTAAAAAAACATAATAATGAAAGAATATTTTCCTGTACTTAATTAAGTCAAAGTTAAAAAAGAGTTGTTTGGCTAGGAAGATCATACATAAAACTAAATCGAACGAAATAACAAATTTACTGCAATAGTTTAACTTACCGTAATGGCGTATGAAACGGGGCTTAAAAGGTGTCAGATCTAAATTAAAATTTTTACCAAATTCAATAACAGACATACTTAAATAGTTCAAATAAATTTTAAGAAGGAGCTCACGAAGGCCAAGGGGATAGTATAAAAATGAGGGAGTGCTGAGGATGAGGGACGGATGGGTATTATAAAAATGAGGAGAAGTTGAGGGAGGCTACGTGTCATGATAAAAGTCAGGGGCTGAGGAAGAAAAAGGGGAATATAAATAAACAAGAGTGAGGGAGGTTTTTCTAGAAATTAACCTCAATAAAGTCACGGACAAACTGAACTTATTTTACCTAGTATTAAAAAGGAGGAATTAAATCTTTCATTTTAATCAAAATTAAATTTTTTTTAAGATTCATAAAAAATAATGATAAACATTTGTTTATTAAATCATCGCATAGATACATTGATACAGTTTAAAAAAATAAAGGATTAGCTTATACTCACGTTATTAATATATATCATTTATACATCATAAAACTAACGAATTTTGTTAAAAAACCTACGCATATTGTTGAATAAATTGTAGACCCATCAAGATTTTTATACACAAATACAGACCATTTATACTAGAATCTTTTAAAACCTTAAGTATTAAAAAAAAACAAAATTGCTAATACCAGAAATTTACTGTCTGTTTTAATCCATACAATAATTCACTAAGTTTACAAACAACGTTGCTTTTATGTAGAGAGAAAAATGGAAGGGCCGAACTCCTTTAAAAGAATTCTGCTTTACCAAACAGCAGGTCAAGTAATTATCTCTTGAATGTGGTAGCAGCTGTCTTACAATGAGAAAGTAGAGTTCTCGTTGCAGTGCATACAAAATCTCAATTGGCGAGGCCGCAGTTGTCTCCACTGTAGTACAGTAGGTCTAGATATTGTGCAGCGAACGTTGAAGAGCTGTTCTGATTGGCTGTGCTGTACTTAAGCCATTTCATTGTGTATAAATAAATTGAGTAATGTATTCTGAATACTATGTATACACGTATATTTTTGGTACGGGATTTGAATCGCTGAATATTTATGATATTTTTAAGTAAACTACCAAAATCAATACGTCTATGTAACAGTCATATGGCTTAAACGTATTGGCCATTTACCATGCTGTATCTAGACCCACAATACTTCGTCGTATCGTCATAGCAAAGTAAGCAAACACAAATTATGCATGCAGTGCAGTCACAGTGCGACTTTTTCGTCCTAGTGAAGCGATACACTTCCACTTAAACGAGGTATAAGCAATCCTTGGAGTGTAGATTAACTGTTGTACCAAGTAGCGCTACACACGATGTACAACTTTGGAAACGTAACCTCACCACAACTTGTTCATTAGCTCTCCTACTTTTCTCTCTACGTACATTTGCAACTACTTTATATGC